GCACATTTCTAGGATCCTAGGTCACATGGAAGCTCCATGGAGGAGCTAACACCACCAAGTAATGTATTTGGGATCAGAGATGCCTTCATCGCGTCCGTCGAAGTAACAAGGAGATGTGCCGAACGCCTTTATCATCCTCCCTCCATCCCGAGTCAAGCAGCCCTTGAACCCCGAAGGGAGAGCCACAAGGCTCAGAGAGGAGCGATAGATCAAATATAACACACTAGGCTTTCATCATCTAAAGGGATATGTTAGAAAATCGTTCTGCGCGATTCTCGTAGCGGAATCTTGAGAGCTACAACTCACCTGTACAAAACTTGGAAGGATGAAGAAAAAAGGAAAATAACTAGTGTGGATCCTGGGAGGTTTTATATTTTGTAGTGGGCTAGGAGACACTATTCCCAATCGGATGAGCGGTAAATTTCTGCCGGATAAGCTTGCGATACATTCAACAATGAGGAGATCCGACTGGATATCTTTCGATCATGCTTGGATTTGAAGTCAATTTGGAACGCATTGATACCAGCTCTATTGCCTATTGGGGACTATCAGAACTGCAACTTTTTATAAGCTGTCCATCAGACACGGCTCGGTATGCTTCTGAGCAATGTGGGACGTTACTCACCTCGTCTCCGCACGAGCTATATTGAAATCTCCAATTACCTCCGCAGTCGGCCATCAGGACTGCGCAATGGACTGAAAGGTCCCTCTTCTGTTAGGACCTTTCACAGGAGACATTGCCTGCTCGAACAGCAAGATAATCCTACTTCTCCTCGACCCTTTTTAGAGCGGTATAAAAAGGCCGGTATGAAGAACCCGTTCTGTTGCATTTTAACACAGTTCTCGTCCTCCGCAGCGTTAAATGCTAAAGTTGTATGATATAGTTGAGTTCCCACCAGCCACGAGCGATTTCGAGACTTTCCTCGCAAATGTATCTGCAGGACAGGAGGTCCAGCTTCATGGATATCTCGGACCCCGCTCCGACCTTTCCAAAAAGCTATCTTTTGCTCGCCTGACAGATCCTACCATGAAACACAGCATTCAACTTGTCTCGTTTATTAAAAATAGCCCTCTTGAGAAGCTAAGGTCAATTAATGCGAATAGTCCGGTGGTTGTACGGGGCATCGTGCAGCCGAAGAAGGGAAAGGGATCGGATACCGAGCACAGCGACTGCTGGGAGGTGCACATTGCGGACATTGATCCTCTGAATGAATTCCCTAAAGACATTATCATGACTCCAGGGACTGCATTTGCTCCAGAACATAGATATCTTCAACTGCGCTCCGACAGTGAACTCCGGGATGCCCTGCGATTCCGCGCTCAAGTTCGCAATATATGCAGGGAAGAGCTGGAACAATGCCGGCCTCCTTTTGTGGAGATCGAAACGCCTCTTCTTTTCAAGTCAACTCCAGAGGGTGCTCGCGAGTTTCTGGTGCCGACTCGGAGGCGTGGTCTGGCTTACGCTTTACCTCAGAGCCCTCAGCAATATAAGCAGATCCTCATGGCAAGTGGTATACCAAGATACTACCAGTTTGCGCGCTGTTTCCGCGACGAAGATCTCCGAGCGGATAGACAACCAGAATTCACTCAGGTGAGCTCTGAATCTTATTGTCCACCTTCATACTGTGATCTAACATAAGCTCCTCGCTCAGCTCGATCTGGAGATGTCTTTCGCTACAGGAGAGGATGTCATGCGGACTGTTGAAGGGATAATCCGCAGGCTTTGGTCCATCTTGATGAAAGACGAGGCGCCCTCTGGACCGTTCCGGAGAATGTCATATCAGGACGCAATGAGCCGCTATGGGTCAGACAAACCCGATACAAGATTTGGAATGGAGATTTTCAAGATCGACTATCTTTTGCCTGTCGACCTAGTCAACAAGATAACTCCCTTGACCGACCCCATCATCGAGGCCTTCAAATTTGAGGGCAACGACAATGACCCGCTCGCAACCTACGATTTCATCAAGCAATTCCTCGACTCCCCAGCTGGTGCTCCATTTAACAACAACCCTGAAGGTGGCCCAGGGGTCTTCGTGTACGACGCCAAGAAACCTTTGTGTGGCCTCCAGCCATTCGGTTTTGAAGCTGCTGAACGCGTCGAGGAACTCCTAGACCCCGATCACGGCGATCTGATTGTCATCCAAGCCCGTGAAAGAGCCCCCTTCGCCGGTGGCTCCACTCCAATCGGTGACTTCCGCCGCGCACTCCACACCGCTGCAGTCTCCTCCGGATTCAAGCCCGCGCCCACGGGGTTCGACTTCCTCTGGGTGGTGGACTTCCCCCTATTCTCGCCCTCCAGTGATTCGGAACCAGGCCAGGGCGGTGCAGCGGGCATCTCATCCACACACCACCCGTTTACCGCACCCAAGACCGCCGCAGACGTCGACCAGCTCTTGACAGATCCCACAAAGGCGGTGGCTGACCACTATGACCTCGTCGTAAACGGAGTCGAATTGGGCGGTGGCAGTCGCCGTATCCACGACGCCGCCGTGCAAGAATTCATCCTCCGAGATATCCTTCAGATGAAGCCGGAGAGGCTGGCTGACTTTTCCCATCTGCTGGATGCCTTGCGGGCCGGATGTCCGCCGCATGCTGGACTAGCGCTCGGCTTCGACCGGCTCGTCGCTGTCATGCTGGGCAAGGAATCGGTGCGGGATGTGATTGCATTCCCTAAGACGGGCAAGGGTGGCGATGATGCCATGGTCAAGGCTCCTAGCATGATGACGGAAGAAGCGTTAGAAACCTATCACCTTCGTTTAAAGGATGAATGAGTGTATGAATATGCAGTTTCCGGAAGCCGCTCGACTGAATTGTACATTAGTATAGACATGATACCCAATCTCTTCTCACGGGCTTTTTTGGGAAGATCTGTAAATAGATGTCTCATAGATACACCCATATAGTCTTGGTTTAAGTGCGAGTAGATTGTGATACGGAACTCAATCTTATCAGTTGGAGTAAGAGGTACGTTATAGCGACATCCCCTCTTTTAAGGTGCCATAGAGAAAACTACCTGAATCGATCAAGTTGAGGCTATATCTACACATTGAGGATCATCATGGGTGAAAGTTTAAACAAAAGTGTTATACAACGACGCCAGCCTCCCATGCCAAAAAGGCGGTCTAGTATAATAAAATGCTGTAACAGGATGAATATCAGTGTCGAATTGCGCTGATAAATCAAAAGGAAGAATCACGAGCTACTCGTCTTCGCAGGTATCATCCTGCGCTCCACCTCTGCCCCTTCATCCTCATCTTCGTAGAGATACTCGTCCTCGTCTTCCACAGGCTGGCCGAAAATATTGTTCCAAACACCATCCCAGAGACCTTTCTTCGTCACCAGACCACCGACAAGGAGGATTGGCAGCTGCCAAATACTGGCCCAGAAGAGGCGTCTAGCACTGCCGTTGGCGCCCTGATGCCGCCAGAATTTGTAGGCCTCTTTGACTAGCCAGCCATTGGCAACGGTGCTGCCAACCAGGAAGCCATTACCGACTATCCCGACCCACCAGAGACCGATGGAGAATGGAAACATGAGAATAGAATATCGTAGTGCGACACGGGCATTTGCAGCTGGATTAGTCCAAGCGAGCATCCTGTACCCGGCTGCTTTGTACTCCTCGCGGATCATGTAGGACAAAGCATTGAAATGAGGAAATTGCCATGTGAAGAGAATGCCACCCAGGAGCCAGCCACCGATGCTGTCCTTGCTGAACAACATATCCCGCCAGCTGTCGTGGCCAGTGGTTGCTGTCTGGCCTGCCGCAGCGGTCCAACCCATCAACGGGGGAATGCCCCCTACCACGGCGCCTACCCAGGTGTTGATCACGGATATACGCTTCAGTGGTGTATACACAAAGGCGTAGAGACAGATATTACCGGCGGAGAGCGCGGTAGTCGTAGGGTTCGTTCCAATGTATAGCAAACCGAGACCTGCAGCAGCAGTCGCAATCGCAAATAATACAGCAGCACGGCGTGACAGCAGCCCGCGCACTAACGGCCGGTTCCGTGTCCGCGACATGAGGGCATCGTATTTAGGTTCAAGGAGCATATTCAAGGTATTGGCACTGCATGAAGACAAGAAGGTTCCTGCCGTCAGGTAGAGAAAGGTCAAGGTTGAGGTCGAGAGGGTCGGTAGAGGAGTCATTGAAGGGTCAAGCGTGAGAAGAGAGGAGATAGGGTACATCCCATATGCGGAGGTAGTCGTCAATACGATCAGGAACGACAGACGAGGCTTCGTGAGGGCGAGAAACGCGGCCAACTTGCGGCGTAGGGAAGTCGCAGGGAGGGCTGATGAGAGGGTGGACAGTTGCGACGAGGCATCAGGAGGGAGTTCGGTTTCTGCAGCATTATTCTTGGCCGCCTCTTCCTTTAACCGCTTCCTCCGGCGATGAGGTAACTCTTGTGAGGTAGATTGTGAAGCAATCGACTCCGAACCGGCTGCATCCTGTGACAATGGATTGTCGGCAATACTTCGAGGGGAGCTATTGACGGCGGATAAGGATGCCAGTAAGCCATCTTTGTCCGTGGAGCCGTCTGCGGTCCGATTGGCAGAGAAATAAGTCTTTTGAATAGTCGAGGGGGCTGATTCATGATCGGCAATGCCAGCCCGCAGCCGAGATGAGGAGAGGAAGCTGCGAACTGCGACAGGTCGCCGTGATGGTGAAAGTCGTGAGAAGCATTGGGAACACAGGCGAGCAGGATCTCGCGCCAATCCAGACCTCAGCAACGAGGACCGGAGAACAATCATGGCGGAAGGAACATGGATGGAGCGATATTAAACCACGATAGGACAATCTTGATCATGAGATAGACGAATCTCGGAAGAGTCGCGATTGACGGAGCAGAAATTCCCCGGCGAGGCACAAAGACCACAACCGCAGGAATGTACCATACCGCCCCGATAGTTGTTGTTGCTCTTAAGAACCATCGTGCTCCGTTGGCAAATTCTACCTCAATCAAAACCCAGAAACGTCCTTTGGCCTGTACTCTCTCGCCATGGATACGCTTCAAAAGGTTGTTATTGACCCTCTTCAACCCGTTCTCCGTCCTATCTCCTCCGCTCTCCCGCAACCTGTCCACGATGTCATCATCTCCTTGGTCGGATCGCCATGCCACAGCGCCCTCCTCCTCGATCTTGATGTCACCAAGGATCCTGCCTGCACGTCCCTTGCTATCTCCAAGGCTCTTGGTATTGCCATCGTGGGTGCGAGTGCCATCGTGAAGGTTCCGCAGATCCTGAAGCTTATCCGCTCGCGATCCTCCGCTGGCGTATCCTTTGTCTCCTACGCCCTCGAAACCGCCAGTCTGTTGATCACTCTGTCCTACGGCGTGCGCAACCAGTTCCCCTTCAGCACATACGGAGAGTCTGCCTTGATTGCGGTGCAGGATGTGATCGTTGGAGTTCTGGTATTGACCTTCGCGGATCGCCCTACGGCTGCTGCGGCCTTCATTGCAGTGGTTGCCGCCAGTGTGTATGCGCTGCTCTTTGACCAGACCCTGGTGGATGCGCAGACCATGTCGTATCTACAGGCTGGTGCTGGTGCGCTCGGTGTGGCCAGTAAGGCGCCTCAAATCTACACGATCTGGCGCGAGGGAGGAACCGGACAGCTGAGTGCCTTTGCGGTAAGTTTTCTGTCTACTGATATTGAGTATACGCAACTGACTTGACAGGTATTCAACTACCTCGTCGGTTCCCTTTCTCGGATCTTTACTACGCTGCAAGAAGTTGACGACAAGCTCATTCTGTATGGATTCATTGCTGGGTTTGTCCTGAACGTTATCCTGGCGGCACAGATGGTCTACTACTGGAAGAGCCCGGCGCAGCCCAAGAAGCGGCCTGCTCGAGCTTCTAGGCCACTGGAAAAGATTCCTGCTGCTGAAAGTACTGGAGTATCGCCCAAGCCCTCGGCCAAGTCGCCCACCACACGCAGACGGGGTTAGATTAGTCTCTCTGGAAATTCTCATCAGAATGCTTGAATACAATTTTAATGTCGTTGAAAAACTTCTCCGCGTAGTGCCCGCAGTCATCAGCGCTGCGTCGGTGGCATTCCCGTAGTCATATACCGTAGAATATCCTCCAATGGAACCGCAGGCCCAGCTGCTCTCTGCTGCTGCTGCCGTGACCCCGGCGTAGGCGCCGCAATATCAAACTCCAACCCAGCGCCCGCACCAGACCTGCGTCGTACACCAACAACCTCCATCTCTTCCTCCTCCCCCTCCCCTTCCTCCTCACTCTCACTCTCCTCCTCATCCTCATCCTCCAACTGCCTCCTCAACCCAGTAACCACATTCTGAATACCCATCTCCCTCTCTTCCAGCGTAAAATTCCCACCCCAATTCCTCCTCCTCGCCTCCTGGTTCGCCTCGACAGGCGCCCAGTCCCACAGTTCCGCAAGCGCACTCTCACTCAACGCACCCCGGTCCTCAAACGCAGACGCCCCCGCCCGCCGACCGCGCGATACCCAGTCCTCAACCCTTGGATCAAGTTTCGTGCGGAGAAGCTGCTCAAGTGTCGGGGCCTGCGTGCGGCCGGGGTACGAGGGGCCGGGGTAAGCAACGAGCGCGGAGAGGAGGTCTTTGTTATCGGAGAGGTGCTCGGAGATGCTGAGGAGGTTGTTTGAGATAATGCCTGCTTGGGATTGGAGCGAGGACCTGCTTCAATTAGTATTTTGCGTTTGGGGATGCGGTTGTTGAGTTGGGATGGTGTACCATGATGGCAGCGGGTCGCTTTGGTTTAAGCTGCCGATTAGAGAGGCTAGGGAGCGGGTGAGCTGGACGAGCCGCTGGCGGGATTGTTCGAGGGTTTTTATCTGGTCTTGATTTAGAGATGCCATTTTGACTTGGATGGGGAAGTCCGGACTGGGCCGTTGATGCTGTTGAGGTATGCGGCTGGGACGATGACCGGGATGAGGTGCAGAAAGCGATAGCCCGATAGCTGGAAAGGTTGTCCATGCAACCCCACAGCTACAAAACCATAGGGCTAGATCTACATCTACATCTTCGAGTCTAGTACAATCTACGACACCTTCTTTGAAAGATAGCCTCGAAGTCTAGGACATCAATAGCTAAGAGTGTATGCTAATTCCTTCTACTCTCCACTTATCCTAGCAGATTGATTGCTCCATCTCAGCTGCACGAGAATCACTCAACCTGCTATAAATAGAGTCCTCACCACCACCGAGCCCAAGCAGCTGAATCCTTCAACACAACCACCCTTCGCCATTGGTAACTTGGCATCCTTGATGAAACGCCTGGAATGCAATAAGTCCAACCTGGCAGTGTTATTATGCTGGAGACTTACGATAACTATGCTGTCGTTGACTCGTTGGCGCCAAAACCCCAAAACCCGTGTTTATTTTTAGCTAGATGCCTGTCCTGATCATTCGGCCGAAGAGGGGCTGGTCGGTGAGCGCTACCCTTGGCTCTCACCACAGAAGGGTATAAAAAGACGATGGAGTCTGTCAGAGAAATATCTTATATTTTTGTAAAGTTACTATGTACCAGCTTTGATATTTGTCGATTATTCCTGCTGAGCTATGGTCAATCATTGCTAGGAATTACCCGCCAACTGGTCAATGCCAGCAATATCACCACGCAATACAACATCTCGCTCAAACGCTGGAGGGAAAGTGGAATGAAGATTGAGTCGACCGTTCAAGGAGGGTATATAAACATCATTTGACGACTTCGATAACATGCGGTTCATTATGCATAAGGGAAGAACTGCGGAAAGGAAAGAGATTCTGACAACGGATAGTGGCCTGCACTGGAGAATATGAACACCATTCACATTACCCGACCAGTACATGTGTTCTCACCAACGCCCATGGATTGCCATATACCAGCAGGTAGCAAGGGAGCAATGTCGACCATTACTCACAGCCTCTCAGCTTATTGTTTCTGAGGAGGTGAGACACTGCGCTCAGAAAAGTATGTCTGAGCGTGATAAGCCTTCTCCTGCTCCGGAGAATGTGTGGTAGATGGGACCGTGACAGGAGATTCGTTGATTTCGACATAATTGGACTTGGAGAATCCCACCTCCTGAGCACGGCCGTCTGTGTCGACAAAGTTGAAGCCATGTCCAGACCCTGGGTGGTGCATCGGTTGGCTATACACGGCAGGATCAGCCCACGCCCCGTGAGCTGGGGTACTGATGGTGGTATCGTTCCACCGCGCATGAAGATGGTCCGAACGACGGTTCTTGCGGGCCTGCTTGCGTCGCCAGCGGATAAAGAAGAAGCATCCCACTGCGAGGATACAGATCAGGATCACAAATCCCAGGATCGGAAGCGCAATGATCAAAGCCAGACGGCTGGAGCCTGAGTTGGGCTTCGCGGAAGGAGAAATCAGGTCCACTGTGGATTGGGGCAGCAATGACTCGCTGAAGACTCTACTCGGGCTAATAGGAAAAGCTTTGCTGGTAGGGGTTCGGAAGTGACAGTTGTAGCGAAGAGCTTCTAGAACTGCATCGTTGGCAAGGCTGTCAGTAACTGGCGAGTTCAGAACGGCATGAGGTAAGAAAGGAAAGCAACACACAATTTCCAAGGTAGACCTGGGAATCGGTCATATTGCTGGTCAAGTTGTAACAAAACTCGCACTGGCTGATGACATTGTCCGCGAAAGCCGAAGCACCACACCAGGTATCGAAGTTGACTCCACTCGGATCATCCAAGTCATACTTTAGCGCCGATGATAATGACTGGCAGGAAACCACGCAGGGAGAAGAGATATTGGCGACCTGTTCAGGGAAGCCGTACACGCAGCTGCTGAAGGCATACCGGAGATTGTCTGAAGCTTCACATTAGCGACTGCGTGTCTCAATATCACCAAGATTTGTAATATACGTACAGAGTCCCCAGTCGACATCCGCCTGCCCCGACGACGAATCACTGTAAGTGCTCTCCAATTGGCACTCCACGCAGTTTTGAAAGTCGGACCCCTTCGTAGTCTGGCTGAACTGCTCGTCCAAACAAACGATCTCAGAACCTGTAGTGTTCGAGGACACTTTATTGCAGACGTTAGCGCACGGCGAGCCGGGTGTCGTCCTCAATCCGATAACCGCAGGTGTAAGGTGACCGAGGAGCAAGAAAGCAGCCGCCAAAAGCGACGTAGATTTCGGCTTTTGGCTCAAGAAGCCGATCATCTTGGAGGATGAGCCGGACCGATCGATCCAGGCTGATGCCAATCAATCTATTACTGTAAGTTCGAGGGACAAATAGGCGACACGCCGTAGGTTCGATAACCGGTCATCGAATTGACAGCGTAGTGATCGAACACAATAGCCCAAGAAAGTAGAACAGACAGGAAGTGGCCTGTCAAAAGAGAGATAATGAAGGTAGGTCACGTCCTTGAGTCGGTTATCACCATCGCCAGGTTGACATCTTGGTACTCCTCGTGGATTGATAAAGAACCCGACCGGAGGCGACACGCTGCAGCATGGTCAGGTCGACTTCCTCCTTCCAGGATCTGTCGGGACGTCGCTCGTAGGGTGCAAGCTAGTCCAGGACGATTAAGCATGCACCATGAGCAATGGTGCTTGTCTGGGCGCTAAGACACACGCTCGCAGTGGCAGCGAATATTGGCTAGTTATTGGTCTACCATTATCCCCCCCGCGACTGGTTGGAAGAAAAGCGGGACCGGGGCTGGTGCTGAAGCCAGTCACCGTGGCCATTTGGAATTGTCTTGGGAGCAGGATTTGGAGTGTGACGAGAGTCGACAAAAGACTGGAGATGTGATTGTGACTGGGCCTGCAGCTTGTCGCATCGGCTCACGTTAGCCCTGGCAGGAGGCTATGATTCGTCGATCACTAGCAAAACCCCTCATTTTAAGTGCCCAGAACATCGTTTACCTTCGCAGTAGGCAGGTACAAAGTACTTTACAGGTAGACAGCATCATCTGTAAGGTAGATTGCTGGTTGCTGGGTTCCATCTTTTTGTGCTCGGAAGTACTGTGCCGATATTATCTGTGTCCAGATTATCTAGACAGTCCTGTGCATGTACCTACTGCAGTCTAGCAAAGGTGATGGACAAGTAGGTCAGTGATAATAGCCGCTTGTACTGGGTACAAAGCAGCTACCTCGACTCATCCCTGTATCACGACTTCACTAATCTGAGTCAACAATCATCCGCCCCAGCAAATAAAATAATATTTCATAGTTTCCATGATAATGGCATGATATGATAATGAATGATCAGAAAAACCCCTATCCCTAACAAATTCATACATGGTAGATACTGGCCCATCATTCCCCAGGCCCACCGGGTTTGTGCTGAGAAGAGAAGGCCAGACAGGCACCTAGACCAAAAATGAAGGGGCCTCCCATATGGAAAAGATAAGACTCCAAAATGCAAATTGTATGTCCTATTGCGCTCTCGCTGGTGGCACAAAAGGTAACGAATCATAATAATCATTAAGAAAATCCTCGGGCAAAAAGCCAGGCCCCAGCCAGAAGGCCTCATATAAATGAAGGTCTGTTATAAACAGAAATGGTGATTGTAGTGCGGAGGGTATGAAGATCGAACATAAGCACTACCCGTACAGCTCATCGTAGGAAGGTACCAGCTCGGGCTCGCGGACTGGCTCAGTCTCTCGATGCTTTGACCGACGAGCGAGTTTCTGTTCTTGAAATGGAGAATGAGACATATGTCGAGAATCCTCAGGTGGAACTGACGGTACTGAGGATGTAAAGCTCGTATGCTTGGAACTTGCAGTCCCTGAAACCGATGCTGTCGGCTCGGTGACGTTGCTTTGCTGACTGCGTCGGCGCATTCGCGAGGTGACAGAGAGCGGGGGCGACTTGGACGCTCGACTATAGTCATCCATATGTGCACTGAGTTTGAGACGATTTAATTCTTGCGGAAGCCGTTTGGGCCCCTTTGGCGGTGGAATAACGTCTTCATCGGCTTCATCGCTGGAGCATATTTCATCCCAAGGATTGACAAGCCCCTTCTGCTCACTTACAATTCCCCGGTGCTCTGAGATTTTCTGCGGGGGTAGCTCTTTTGTTGACCGACTTCGTAATTTCGCATCGTAGTGTCCGGTGGGTATTGTCATGGCAGAATCGACTGACGATTCTCGTCCTTCCGAGTCCCCAGAATGCAAGGTCGGTTCGGGGCGGGAAGAATTACTTTCTCGATGTCGAGCCTCTGGCGAACTATGCCTTCGACGTTGTTCCGAAGGCAGCTCAGGGGCAACATTCATGTTGATGCTAGAAGGCTGGTCCCACTGACTCCAGGAGCCTTCCGTGGGATAAGTGATTGATACATCGCCCCATCGAGAATGCAGTTCGGAAGAAAGCTTGCGCTTCCTCCTCAACTTGCGAATAATGGCCGTCATGATGGCGATAGGATTTCTCATAGAATGTACCCCAGAAGAGAAGTTCACTTCTTGAGAAGGACTCGGGCCGGCAATAATGCCACACCGTCGGGAAGGCAAAGTTTGTAGCGACTGACGCTGAAATTATGTATTCCTCTCCTACAGAGACTCCCCCGAGTGAGTCAAAAGGGAGTCAGGCTTTGTAGTGAGAGGAAACAGGAGAGATACTGGACAGCCGACGGCCTGCATGGGATGAGGAGAAATCATAACACATCCATCAGGCACAATCAAATGACAGCCACATAGCTCTATGTGACATGACCCGAAAGGAAAGATCCTGAAGAAGTCCGCTCGAGTAGACGGCACCGTAGGACGGGAGTCATGCGAGACAAAGACGCGTTACAGACCCGACAGTTTGGTTCAACCCCCCTTCAGGTGAAAGTCAACGGACCGCCACCTGGAAACTTCCCAAAGAAGATCGTCTTTGGGCATCGCAGCGGTTTTGGAGCGGCACGCAGAATGACAGACGGTGACTGGTCCTGAAGACCCCGGCAGAGCACCTTTCTAGACAGGGTAGAGAGCAGGCTACAGTCTCTGGACTGCAAGCCATAGTATTAAACGAGAGGGGTACGTCGCGGAAGGAGTAAGAAACATTGCAAGGAAAGAGAAATTGCGGCGTAGTCACCTTACAGCTCTTGCCGACGCAGCCAAGCGATCTTGGATGTTGGTCAACTACGTTGCACACAACGACGCCCGCAGCTGTCCGCCTTCTTGGCGTGGCGCTTGCTCATCATCTACTGCTCGAAGCAGGACCAGGGGGCAGCCGTATCAATCGATTAAGCCTCGAGAAGAATGTGGGACTTTCGCAAGGGCGCAATAGAAGATGACCAACTATGTGGAGACTAAGCAGGTAGCATCTTCCAACCCCGCGGTTGACTCTCGTCGATAATCAGCATCCACGATGAAAACCTCCGTTCCTCTGGATCGTGCCCCAGTTGCCAGGCAGTAGCCTAGATGGCCAGACTACGTAATCTAAGGACAGGTAAGTCGTCAACGTATGTCTTAAGGGTCAGGATGCGGCTGAGGAAAAGGTTCGACCAATACTGGGGGAGAAATCTCCGTGTGGATGTCATGTCTCACTTACTGGGATCTGCTATTCGCACGCCCCATGATGCTCATCGCTATCATATCATATCATCGTGTGGGTAACTGAAAGGGGATGGACACTTGAGACAGACAGGGATCATCAGCAAAAGGAGGGGCAAAGTAACGAGCTGAAGCTCGATTCTCAAACAGGAAGGCCCTTAGCCTCTTCCTCCCATTGCCCCAAGCGGAGTAGTGCATCCACCGTATTTTTCCGTGTTTTCTTATTCAGAATCAGAACCGACAAGTCATCATAATATTATCGCTAACTGGGTTGGACATCGTCAGAGTTGAACCCTGAAACCAACACTCGGCGATTATTTAGCGTATCCTCGTTGGTTGAGAAGCGAACAAGCACAAGGTTGATCGTCCCGCAGTCCGTAAATCCGTCGAGGGGGCCAAGTGAACCGAACCATCCACAGAGCTTAACTACGCGCCGTGATGGAGCATCAGCTCATGTCTCATTAGTCTAATCACAGTCGTTCCGTGTCGTCCTCCAGGTGGAAATTCCGGACTGACTGAATCTAGGCGAATAGATCGAACCCTTTCTCAGCACCTCGACAACGAAAAGACATCATCGACTGACAACTTTGCGACCAGGACGAAAATCTCGCTTTTCGCCGTTGTTCGGCCGAATCGAATAAGACTACGGAGTACGTACTCTCTCGATCTGTCAGTCCTCAGCACACTGGATCCACGCTCGTGACATTCGAAAGAGCGGGGATATAACTCCGTATATTGGCAGTCAAACGTAACCCGCACATGCCAAGCGCCTCGTATCAGGGTCTGGAACGTAAATGCGTATACTCCGTACCGACACTCGTTAAGTCCGATCAAATGTAACCTCGCAGCTGCTATCAAGCTTGGCTATGGCATGGATCCGTGAAAGAGACACTTGCACGCTTACCTTCAATGCGGAGATTCTCGGAGACGCCAGTCGACCTATTTCCACGAATTTGCCCATGAAATGACAAACTATGCTTCAGCTTTGGAATATTGTCCACAGGGATTGCAAATCTCCCATATGAGAGAGAGCTAGCGTACCAAGACGCAGATCTTATGGCACTGCTAGATTTCCCCACTGTTTGTATGAAGACGGTTGCAAATTTTTCAGAGCAAGGACCTCTTACTGGTCTCGCAACTTGATGTTATGAGGCAAAGGCTCGAGTCTACTTTGGGGAGGCTTAGTACCCTGGACTGGCTAGGATGCTTGACGTATAGACGTAGCAAGTAGAACTTGTTATACCTCTGTAATCCTATATCTCATCTCATAAGCAAAGCAATTCAGCCCAAGCCACCGATCCCAGCAAAGTTCAAGCAAATCTAGCCATTCAGCAAAAATATATCGCAAGAGCGATCCAAATCGCAAGCCAAACACACCAGCGTTTCGAGATCCTCTGGCTGTTATCCCTTCGAACAAGCAAAGCGACCGAAACGCAAAGAGCAACCAACGACCAGCACAGCCCTTCCGCTCCGCACATTCACCAGATAATGAAATTGCCTTTGACGATAGCATTAAACTGAAACATCCTCGGCTCCATGTCGAGATACCGGCCACCCGCATCGTTCTCAGCGTCCTTCCAGGATGCAGGCAAGATGTCCCCGTTTGCTCGCCATTCGAGATCTGTCATTCGCAAGGGAGCAAAGCTGAGTCCAGCCCTCCTGCCTAGTACTTCCGCTCTTCGACCTGCATCCTTCATTGCCGATTGCGCAACCTCGAACTCTAGAAAACGGATGGCCTCCCTGCTGAGCAGCCAGTGGAGTTCCAGGATTTCAACGCCCTTATGGTCATCGAGCTTCTTTGCCACATGGCGCATGAAGTCCACATCCCCGAAGCCCATTCTGTACGTCGTCTGAGAGCGGTAGATGCGCGCCCGTGCTGACCTCGGATTAGCATTTGCGGCAACAGTATCGCTTTTCCATTCCGACCAGGTGCGCGTGGGTTCAAAAACATGAATCGACTCTGGTGGGAATGCCCGCGTCAGGGCTTCAGCACAAGCTATTTCCTTCCTGATAACGGCTCCATTGGATGCGGCGGAGAGATTCGTTCCGAAAACAAGAGCGGCCTGGTCAGCGGGTTGTTGCACAGTTGCGAAACCATACAGGCATAGGCACCCTGCTACCATTTCATCCATGCTGATTCGCAAATGGGTGTCCAGGTGATGTGCGTTCGCCTGTGTACGCGTAACGAGAGTAACGACTGAAATAAGAATAGGTAATATTATATGGCAGAGACGAGGAAACAGGACATTAGAGAGATGTCTCCGCCGGACGTGTTTTCTCGAGAGACCGGAAGAGAATACATCGAGCTGAGGGTGTCTTGATGTAGCGGACTCCAAGTCTGCACTTTCCTTCCATATCATGCACAATGAGGGCATAGAGAAAGGAAGGAGGTGAGTCCTCCCATTCAGTCTTCATGATGATTCCTTCCTCGCACCTCAATTTTTGATTGTCCTCGGGGACACTTGCGAGCCCATCCCTATTGACGTTATTTGTCCTAGTATGACTGCTGCCTATTGCCGAATGCAGCCTTCAGGGTCGAACCTGCTGAATCAATCATCAACTGGAGCCTCTTCCACGAGCCCAGGGCTCTGAGATTTGGAAGTCCTCCAGATTTCATGTTTTATTTATCAAGTCGTTATCATTATTTCTGCTGCTTCTGAGCCAATGATCACGAGAAGAACAAGAGTAAGTCAACCCAGGACCCAACACCATGCGCCATCGCTAATATCCATTTACGCCGTCCAAACAGACAGAATCCCCTTACGCCAGAATCATGGTCAACTAATACAAACAGGCGTCTCGTCATTAGTTGAGATTTGTGATCAACCTCGAAAGTACCGGTTTTGGTCTCCTAGGTAGCCTTGCCGTCCGATCGAGTGTGCTCGAGTCCGCAGGAGCCACACTGGCCTGGAAGAGACTGTCTGATTGTATCGAATCTCGTGTCGAGTCTGGCGAGGCTCCCAGAAATGACCGCCCAGGTGGCTGCAATAGCTGTGGCAATGGCGAGGCGTCGTTTAGATGTGAAACAGGCTGGTTGTGAAGTTGTGATGAGACTCTCACAGAAGCATTATCGACTGGCTGGAATGATGGTTGTCTCATCGCAGAGAACTGCACGGCTGGTAGAACATCGATGTCTCTGTACCTGGACGGGTCATAGACCGGTACGTGCAAAGTCTGATATGCTGGTGGTCGGTCACTGATGTCGTCAGAGTGGGCGCGGTACATGGAGAGCGAAGATGACGGTCGACCCCGCATAGTAGCAAGCTCAGCATCCTCTGCCTTCAACCCTGCCTGGATATGATACTCGAGGAGTTGTTCTTCGTGTCGACGGATACGATCCCATCTGCGTTTCTTATGGAGGAAGAAAAGTATGCCCGCGGTGACTGATACAGACTTGTTAGCATTGAAACACGCAGAGGACCCTAGCTCGGTAGAAGAGAGTCCTACTTGCAATGGCAGCAACGCCTCCAACGACCACTCCGATGATTATCGCAGTGACATTGCTGGAGCTCCCCGATCCTGAACCATCGGTTGACGTCGACGAGGCGTGATCCGATTCAACGTGAGCTGCATAGTTGGTATCACGCGAAATGACCATACTGGACAATCGTTTTTCAGGGAAAAAGAAGCAATGCTTGTTCGATACCAATCAACTGCGAAAGAATGAGAGGACCCTGATCCGCCTCGCCAGCCTCTCCATCAAGGCTGTCGGATCACTCCTCTACGATGAACGGAAACAAGAGAATATTTAAGCCCTGTCATATTGATAAGCTCGGGCCTGATCACGGTCCCTCGTTTCAGAACCATGAGTTTAAAGTTATTTTGGGGATCAAGCAATGCGGGATTGCGGTAGTCATGGACAAAGATAGAAACCGAATCGGAGGACGTTCTGGGAGGATCACTTGCGCTTATCTTGTTTAGTTGATGGTTACAGACAAACGCAAAGCTGAAACGCATGCTCGAATCCTTCCTCGCCCAAAATAGCATCCAAACTGGTGCGGATTGGCAAATCATTGGCTGAGAGTGTTCGGCGACTCGGTTGTGCGCGCCCTGACCCCGTATCTCCGCGCTAGGGTGGAGGGGGAATTGCGATCTGACCCATCTCTCTGCAGATGAGTTGTTCAACCTCAAAAGGGTTCTACCTTTGCTTCGGCAACTGACGCACATGGTCTGCGTTGTGAAATTACAAGGACTGACAATTGAAGAGATTAGGACCAGATGATGCATTCCTTCTATCACATTGACTGACCACCTCTAATATGTATGCGCCACTTCCTGATTACTCTGCATAAGGTCGATAAACCGCCATTCCCTTCTCTGTGTAGAAGTCTAGGGCAACTCCCTGTCCGATGAAGTAGGTGTATCCTTCCTTCAGATCGAACCGCTTGTCGCCTGGAGCGTTCATATAACCATTACCTTTTACGACGATCATAAGACTTGGGCCTAAGATGGCCTTGTGTGTTTCCGTCTCCCCGGGCCCCAAACAAGTCGCAAGGACGTTGAATTCGCTAAAGGCGGGCGCATACTCATCGGTTTTCCCGTTCAAGCCTTTGTCACTCTTTTTCCGTGGCAGAATCACCTCATCTTTTGAGTGAGGTTTGAACGTTAGCGCCCGCGAGAACAGATCCACATTGTCCCGAGCCGGCCTGGGACAGAATCCTGTGTTCAGGACGTTATCGGACCGGGCCATGCATTCCATGATGTCGCCGTTAAGATATGCATGTAGACTATCTGCAGGTACATTGACAGCCTCACCTGGGCCGATGCTGAGATAATTCATCAACAACGCAGCGACCAGGTTGCCATTGTCGTACTCCGAATACTGTTTGCGAAGTCTCTCCAGCATACCCGGAATATAGCTGCTGTTGGGACCGAACTGGGACTCTGGAATGTTCTGAAGCTCATTAATCGTTTCGGCAACGGCGACCGGGGACGCGCTCAGCAGCGCCTTGCAAATCTGCCGCAGAAGCTCGTCATCGAATTTCTCGTGAGGCGGTACAAACCGTTCCAGCGGCTTCAACTTCATGAGGGACTCGATGTCTTTCAAGGGTTTGAAGCCGGCGAAGAGCTCAAAGTTAGATAGTGCAATTGCTATCTCAGGTTTGTGGTTGGGATCGCCGAACTTCTTCGGATCGGTTGCGTGGAGCTTTTCGGCTAAGGCCTTGTCGGGGTGGATTTGAAGTGGGAGGGCTTTGGCGAAAGATAGGATCTGGCTTTTCATTAGTCAAAAGTCGGCAGGCTGTTTCTCTGGACACGGTGTGTACCTTGGGTAGAAAGGGGATCTCTGGCCCATATCGATCCAAAACGGCCTTCCCGATCAACTGCGGGTTGTTTTTAATGTAGTCGGCGAGCATCTCGCCTGTGGCGAGGATTTTGGACGGGTTTGTCGGATAAGTACCCATCCACATCTAGCTCAAGAGTTAATTGTTATGAGCAGCATGGCTAGAGGATAAGGCGATTCCTCACCTCAGAATATGTCTCTGTCTCCTTGATATCGCCGGAGCCAGGTGATTTGGCCCAAAGCTGGGCAGCCAGTGCATCTTTGCCCTTTTTGCCCCAGGGATCGTGCTGTTATGATACGACCGTTAGATCTCGAATCTGTAATTCAAGGTAGTGATGACGAACCTTGCATTCACACTTAATTTGGACCACTGATTCTGCCATTGTGCCGGATATATTCAACTTGGGATTGAGGCGCTGGTTGTAAGAATTGTTACTCCTGATCGTCAAGCGACGGGTTTAGGAAGCAATAGGGATAATAATCATGAGCGATGTGGAAAGCAGCGCCGAAGATGGCCTGACTTGCGACGATGATAAGGTGCAATGCGTGGGCATGGCGTCATTGTTGGTATACCCAGTGGAACAGGCGACAGAACAGGAAATTTGGAGGGAACTAACTCCGCCATTGCCTGATATCGTAGCGAGCTTGGCTAGATGAATCGATGCGACTGTGAAAAAGCGAAGAGGGGAGACCAATCCGCCAATAGGAAATATGGGCGAACGGTTGAAGTGTTCTGACGTCGGCTGGTGATGGTGATGGTGATGGTGTCCAATCTGACGTCAGGATAGGACCCTCACCTCGGGTACCTTTCTCCGTGGGATCTTAGCATTTATACAAACATACATGTATCTAATGCTCATTTGTATTATTAATGTCAGGTAGTATTCGGAAGACTTTAGACTTGATCATTTGAACTTCGGTGTAGCGTAGGGTATTGGTTCAGACTTCGATTCTTTACCTAGACAAGGCGTATTTGTGAGGTGGTTTCCAACCCTCTATACCAGGTTATCCAAGACGTAAGATGAGTTAAGAGGATAAGAATCAGCTACTGGATGCCATAATGTCATTATCATTATCATGGTTCTGTTTAACACCATGAAGTTGCCAAACTATAGAATCGACGCCAACCCCCCAACGCCTTGAAATATGCCGCAAAGTCCACCATGACGCAGAAATGCATTCAAGACAAACGAGATAAACAAAACCAAATCATCCGTAGATTTCATCCGCATCGGGCACCATAGTCATGGTCATGCGTCTGGCCGAGACCCGCCTCTTGGCCGACGAACCACTCCTCCGAGACCCGGAGCCGGAGTCCAGGTTGAACCCCTCATCCCACTTTTCATCGTCTCCAGCGCTGTAACTACCCCCTGAAGAAACGGAGTACGCGCGCGACAAGCGCGAGCGAGCGAATTCCTCCTCGTACCGCGGGTAGGCAGGGATATACCGGAAGCGCGACGACGATGGCGAGGGCGTCGGCTCCAGCGACGAAGCGGGAGATGGAGATGGAGATATAGACCGCTCGGCGCCGCTTTTGACGGTGATCCGAGGCGCCGCGGTTGTCTTTTCGGCGACTTCGCTGGGATAATCCTGGCGGATGGGTCTGTAGGCGAACTGGGCTCGTCGCTCGACGAGGGGTTGGCGTTCGGTTATGTCACAGTCTGAGCGGGAGCTCCTCGATCTAGGCGTCAGACGTATAGAGAGACGCCGTGATAGGGAGGTCGAGGTCGAGGTTGAAGTGGTGGAGGTTGGGGTTAGGGTTGAGCTTGGGCGGGACTCGATGAGTTGATGCGTGCGAGGCACGTATTCCACTTCGTAGGCTGGCTTGTCCGTGCTCTTGCTCTTGCTCTTGCTCCTGCGGGTTGAGGAGGAAGATTGATGAGGGGTGGAGGTGGCGTATTGGGTCCAGGAGCCGTCTGTTGGCGCGGAGATGGTTGCGTCGCCCCATCTGGTGTGTAGTGAATGTGATTGCGGCTGCGACTGGGGCTTGGAGGAGTCGTGTTTGCGGAAGATGCTGAGGGGCCGGGTGACGATGTTCGCCATTTTGGTTATGTTCAATGCTGCTGTTTTGCTGTGGGGCCAGAGAGATGGCTCTCATGGTACGGAGTACTCCGTACTGATGCTGGGATCAGAGGTATATAGATGTGACACTGGCAGCCGAAACTGGAAGAGCAGTCTGGGGGAACGAGGCTGCTCTGCAATGTCCAAGCGCGAGGGCTCAAGAGACAAGGATAAGGCACAGATGATCTTGACGGATGACCACCATCAGTCTATGCAATGCAGGACAAGGGCAGGCTTCAGTCACAAGCACCACCAGAGCAGTCTGTGGACAAGCTTGAGACTCTTGTCGACCAGGACGACAACGGGCGTATATAAGCTTATCCATGCTGGATATCCAGTTAATGCTGCTGTTTTCTAATTATGTTTCATCATCCACTGAGTCTCTGAAACAGCCACAAAGAGCTTAAGCTTGCATCGATCCGGTCGATCAAGTTGCCAACATTAGTAACAAACAAAGACGCTCTATTGCCGCCCGGCGTATTAGCGTCACTTAACAGGCATTGCAGCAGGCTAACATGTCCATTCTTAGAAACTTATCCATGTAAGACGGCGCGGATTTTTCGAATTAGTCTGGAATATGCAGTCAAGTACCATAATTAGTTTTCTTTTGCAGGTTGGTTGCAGGGTAATTGTGCCAAATTTAGTTCAGCATTAGGAGGACTGAGGTTGCAGTGCAGCAGAGAAGCGCCCAGTGAGACCTTCTCTCAGCACTAGCTGGAGAGGACGAAACACACTAATTATGCAGGATTCGGTTTGTTAAATGAATTAATATCCTTGTCCTGCATGCAACTGATTTGGTGAGTGGATTGACAGCTCATGAGGGGTTATTGTGGGCAACTCGGTGTTTTCGGTTATACAGAGCAAGCATGAAATGGGATAGGATAGTAGTATAGGACGTGCATCTATTGATCGTCTGCTCTAAAACAGATCAACCCTCCCTCTTGCCCACAAAATAGCTAAGAACGCCGTTTCAACATGCTGTGGTATGGCCTGTGAACCTGTCAAATGACCTGAAAACCAACTCCGAGTCCTTCTCTAAGGTCGCAGTATATGTACTGTCTAATCGAGGCTTCCCTGTCGCCAAAAACGCCTTTGCAGGCATCTGTGTAACTTGCAATTCATGGTCTAGAACCCAGGGCAACATCACATGCGAATCAAAGCCGTAATAGGTGGTCATAATAAGAAATGGACTGCTGCCCGTGGCTCACATGCTGGACAAATGCTCAAAAAAGAGGTCGGATAGAGTGCTTCGTAAACTGACTTCTTGTCGAGTCTCTAAGTGAAGTTCCCAATATCTCCAGATGAGCCATAGTTCATTATGATGGGAAAGCATTTATATTGGCCACCCTGATTGTGTATCAGCTGTAAGAGTGACGGGTTGACGAACCAGTCGAGCCCCCATGAACTGCAGGCGTCATCTGTAGTAAGCTGCGAGGAGGTGATATCGTCTTTGAGTACAACGACATTCGGGTACTGGAATCGTCGGTAGTGTGCGTAGATAATGGCCAACGTGATGCGCCTATGGAGGGACTCATCACGGACGCGGTTGATATTAGGGACGGCCGAGTTCGGACAGGGCTCTGCTGACCATGCCGTGATCCTGGCTGCAGACCCGCTGACGATCCCCATGAGGAGCCCCGTAAAAGTACTGGTCGCTCTGGAGAGGATAGATCCGTTTCGTCATAATCGAAGTCAATACAATATGTTCCGTCAACGGGCAGGTCCCTCGGGCGGTCATCGCTTCGATCTTGAATCTCCTGTCCAACTTCGGCTGAACGAACAACAGTCAAGTTATGTGACAGTTCGGCGAGAAATTCGCTACGAGACCGCCTCACTTGCGCTGTGGATCGACGGCCAGAATTGGGACGCATGCGCTCCATTCGCTCCATTTCATGATCGTACGAGCTCCTCCGGTTGAGCATGCGTCCGCGCCCTCCACTGCTATCGGGCGAATCAATCGAATGACCATTCAACCCGTGGTTCCTCAAGTCTAAGAGGCTAGGACTGAAAGCAACTCGCACGCGCATCTGCTGGATAGCCGAGTCCAATGCGAGCTCTATCGCACAGTGATTCCTGATCCGTCCGAGTTTGGGCCAGGTTGCGCGTTCTCCGCTGAGACACGCTTGAAGCATGAATTCAGTGGTCGGGTTCTTGAGGATTCGAGGGAAATTCGCGTAAGAAATCTCCGGGTAGATATTGATATCTCCGTAATATTTCTGGTTCATGATGGATGCAGCTTTCGTGAGCGATGTGGGGAAGATACCAAGATCCGACAAGACCGTCATCCGGTGTAATATTTCGTCCTTGGCTAGATGTGTCACGGTGTGAAGCCAGCTAGGTGAAGATGACGTTTGCATTGGCCCGTGGCTGGGACCATCGTCCTTCGGAAGGAAAGGAACCACATGAGGATTCACCTGTGAGACGATGAAATGATTGACGTTGAACATCTCAGACAACCTGGTCATGGGCAAATCCCCATCCACTGAGCCGTCAATGTACTGCTTGTGGAAATCAGTCCAAGGGACCGCTTCTCCGGTCAATGGATCCTTGCCCATCAGCACAAAGGGCGTGAAAACCAGCGGTACTGAACAGGAAACAGCTCTATAGCAGGTCAGAACACAACTCGGGGAAGATATCGAGGGTATGGTGAGCATCAGGATAATGAAACTTACACAGCAGACCAAATCATCACATTGGGTGCGGTAATGTAGTTCAACAACCTTGGAAGTTCGTACACTCCAGCACTGGAGACACAAATGTTCAATATCCTCCTCGTCCTGTTATATGCTTCCTGGAATGTAATGTCGCCAAGCCAGTTTCGCATGACTCTAGCAAGATGCGAAATGTCCAAAAAGGAGCCATGTTTCAGAAATCGCGCTGTTTTCTGCAAGATATTCTCCTCTTGTCCTTCCTCGTCAAAGACAGCGAAATCTCCGTAAGCATAAGTATCCAGAAGCGCTGGTAACTCATCGTCCGTACGTGTGCAGAAGACGGCACAGACAATACTGCCTGCTGAGGCGCCGGAAATAATACGCGGGAGCAGTTTTGCTTCCCACAGAGCTTTGAGTACTCCGATATGGTTCATTCCGAACGTGGCGCCTCCCGAGAATAGAAGAGCACTTCGACCAAACGCCTGTCGCGCGGCGAGCAGTTGATCGAGCATATACCTCGACTCCAACACGTCACACTTCTTTCCAGCCAGTTCCACCAACATTGATATCGTGTCGAGCGCCGTCGTGATGTACCGGTCGATCAAGTCCTTTGTACCGACATGAGAATGCCTGTACAGCGCCGCATTGCTCATATTTCCCAGATCACGACTCAGCGAAGTGCGAATCAGAAAAAGCATCCGGCTTACGTCACAACTGATGCGGGCTTCTTCCAGCTGTTTGAGACGCTCTTGCACAAGGTGAGGGTTGTATTCGGAACATTCGAACGTCTGTTTCCAGGTGTTATTGTCCTCTAACTCGTCCAGTACGCAGGCGCAATTCCTCCACTCCTCGTACGAGACTGCCTAGACCATGAATCTGATTTAGCTAAGGACCGACAGCTGCAATGGAAAGAGGAAGGCTAGCGACTTACATTACGCATTCTGAGGTACAAAACCTGCTTGCGATCCTCAATATCCGTGAGCGCCTTCCTTTGCTCTCTTGAGGCTCCATCGCGATACGCATTTAGGGTATCCCCAGCCCATGATAGCGAGTTCCGCACCACCGACGGCAACGAGGGGATGGAAATCGATTTCGTTAGAATATGGCGCTGCCGTGCCGGGGTCGTTGAGACATTGAGCTGACTCCGGGATTTGGCACCGCCGTAACATTTAGGTTGCACAATAGGCGAGTCATGAAAAAGCGACATGGTAGTAGGCGTCACGTTGAGGGAGAGCCATCCATTTGGCAAATACAGAGAGGGAGGAGGAACAGAGAAGAAGTTGACTAGAACAAAGCATGAAGATAGACTAAAACGATGCCAGACAATCTTCTGCAGACCTCAATTTATATGTCAAGGAGAGCACTTGCAAAATAAAACCATAGAGATGGAGGCGACAATGAATGTGAATGTACTCCAAGCGGACTGCCCTTGCCTTGGTAGTCTGCACTCTACAGCATAAGGTAGTAACCCCAGGAAATCAGCGTGGGGTTCGGCAGTCAGCAGCGATTCAGACGTCACGCGGGCAGAGTTGGGCCTCAGGTGTGGAGTCTCCGGAGGCCATCGCCCATCGCCACATGACGCCTGCTCCAGACTCCCACTGTTTCTGTGCAATCCTCCTTTGATACTGCTCATCATCCTCATTTTCTTCGTATGAGGACTGGCTTAGAGCGCAGTACTTGCGCTATCTAATCTGCTGTTTTGTTTTTTTGGCCCTCTGATCAGTTTATACTTATGCTGGACACGTGACGTCATCTGCCTGTTTCCCATCCATGAGCTCGTGTGCCTGAGTCATGATGATTCCTGGGGAATACAAGCATGTGACAGGATTATCAACAGGCCAATATGCAATTCGGACCTCATCAGCACTTATACCCATGGAAAGCACAACAGAGTTTTGGCTGGAGACTTCATCTAGCATCTAAACAGTAGCCACTGAGTGAAAAGATCTATTGAGTAGAGACAATCTCCTCTAAATTATAACCTCCTAACTTTGACCACCACCATCGCCTTGCAGTCACCATATCGTATGGGGGATGTCGACATACGAAATGGTCCCATTGTAAATTGCCGTGCTATTATTGGACAGTATGTTCGATCCTGGTCAGATTATTAGCCCATCGCGTCTACTTCACAGTGACTCGAATTTGGTACAAAAGACCTACCTCCATGTGTACTGAAGTACAGTCGATGATGGTCACCATGTTGACGTCCCAACTTCGCGGCTGTTGGCCCATCTACAGCTGCCAACCTGCTGCTGCCTCCAGGATGGACAACGCTGACTTCGTTTAAGGGGCCCAGAGCAATATATGCTGTCCCGTTTTCGTCCAGAGTGAAGTCGTCCGGCTCCGTCAGATTTGAAGCAACGATCTCGGATGCACCGCATGGCTTTCCGTCCTCGTTAATCTTGATTCTGGCCAAGAGACCAGCATCAGTGTTGGTCCAGTAAAGATGTCCTCCGAAGACCTTGATCCCATTGACACCGATTTTCCCTTCTGAATCTGCGTAACTCTTCTTCATCAGAGGGTCATCCACGATCACATCATATGCACCAGTCCGGACATCGACCTTATAGACCCATCCATTGTAGGAATCGGAAACCAAGATAGCACCTTCATTGAGCGTCGCGGCTCCATTCACGAGTTGAGAGCCCTCAAGATTGGTGAGTTTTGTCACTGTGGCATTTGAGAGCACCTCCCCTGTCGACGACATCTTCAAGGTACTGAAATCGACCCGGAATATGTAATTGGTCGAGTTGGGTAATAACATCATAGTCTCGTCGTACTGCCCAGCCACAGCCGCAAAGAACTCGTCATGTCTGGTCTCCGTGATTCCCAAGACACCATCATACTCGCCAGCACTGGCACCTTCGGCCCAGCTATGAATCACTATAGGCGGCAATTTCCCATCGGGATCAACTTGCAAGATCCGCGGGTTGAGCAGTTGGGTGGCCAAGACATCGCCTGAGTGTCGTATGGCAAGATTTTCGATCCAGGAACTAGGCCCAAAATTGGCGAGCTGTTTGACTTTCAGATCCGTAGGCCATTGAGAGGCTGATATAGCCGCAGTGGGAGATGCCGAAGCAAGGCTAAGGAGGGTGGAAACCAAAATGAATTCTCCAGAAACGAGCATGATCATGGAAAAAGACAAATTTGCTCGTTACTCTCGGCTTGGAAATGTCCGAAACGATGCCACGAGGAAAAACGTCGCATTTAATGCGCGGGCTATACAGTCTTATATACTTTCAATGCTTCGGCCACCCCGTTTCCCTAGAGTGCTTCTCTCTTCACCCATCAAGTCCCAAGCTCAAAAAGAGGCGTTATGCAGCTGCTCAATGAACCCGATCATAGAAACCCACTTTGATTGCATTAAGCCTTTTCCAGGGTGTCGGCGACCTAAATCGGTAACAGTTGACAAGGCTTAATGAGTCAACTGTTATGGAGCCATGCAGATGGGTCTCTTTGATAGTGTTTTTTCTTTTTTTTTCCGCAACTGGTGATGAATTCCAAACCTCCGGCCGCTGATTTTGTGTGTTGAACCCAAAGGAGAGCCTAGGACAGCGACGCTATGGGTTGTGAGAAATACCTAGTGCTTACGCTGACGTGCGACCGTGAGAATGCCTTTCAGGCAAGCTTCCAACACGCGGAAGTACTCCCTTCACCTGTTTGGTTGATACAGTAGCTTTAGGCCACCCAAAACACACTTTAGCGTGTAAGATAATTATAGGCGGATACCCTTGTTTGCGGCGGACTAGCATCATTGCGCAGCCACTATTCTGCAGTGTCCATTCTTGAGGAGGACAAGCATTATGAATGCGTGGCGAATTGGACACACCATGTACGACTGAGTGTTATGATGTGGGAAAAGGAGCACTGCATCTGGTCTATATCAACAGCAGAAGAATTGTCGTTGGCGGCGGAGTTCTTAAAACGGAAACCGAGGACTCATTGAGTTTATTCGACTGCGCTGCGAGGTAGGAACTTGATATAAATGATCATAAAGGCCTCCTAATCGATCGCAGGAGCGTGGTATTCGCTCGCACAATCATGGAATGTGACCCAGCCAAGTTCTCAGAGCTTCCCTTGCTCGGGATTCAACGCCTTTCTCGCGCCAGAAATGGCCGGCGCCGTCGATTTCGGCCGATTGAAATTGGCTGTGAGCCGCTTCAGAAAGATCGCTAGCCCACTTGCGTAGCTTGTGGGCGGAAGTGAATGTGTCGTGATTCCCGTAGATTGCCAGTGTTCTGTGTGAGCAGAGCTGGTCGGCTGGCTTTGGGCAGAGAACCTCTTTACTCTGTGTAGGGGTTTTTACTGCCAAGCCCGAAGAGAGCTTCGAAAAAGATGTCAGGAGTAAGTTGACAGGCGGCAGAAGAGGTGAAACGAGAAGGTATGAAATTGTTGTTCGAGCAACATCCTCAACAGTTGTGCTACATTCTCTGAAGGCTAAATTGCTCGATGTCGACGGCATGTCTGTGCCAGGAACACTCTTTATCGACAGAGCTGAGAGCTCCTTCGCAGCTTGGCGTATTTTGTGAAATGCTGTAGCGCTATCGTCCTCTGAGAACAAGCGTGCTACCACATCGACTGTTGGTAGATGTGAAGCGACCATCGACCCGTAGGAATAACCTCCTAGAATGAGATGAACATCCCCAGAAGCGCTTTTAGAGTTACCAGTTGATTCGGCTGGTGGAGCAGAATTCGGACCTGGGCTCCTGTTCTTCTGTCGGGCGTGGTCTTCTTTCAAAGAATGCAGGTAATGGAGCATAAAGCCGTAGAAGGAAACATAGTCCGCCAATTCCGGTTTTGCTGTCCAGCTAGTTCGGCTTCCAGATTCACCAGCTCCGCTATTGACAGTGTCAATAAAATTAGCTTCGAAGCAGTGACGGCGACATCCATCGTGGAAAAGACATGGCACCATCCTAAAGACCTACCGAAAGTTGAAGGTGCCCACCACAGAACCGCCTCTGAGGAGCTCCCCGCCAATGAAGCCCACAACCGGGTCATCATAGCATCCTCCAAGAGGAGCATATGGATGGGCTATTATCGCACCTCGTATGTGCCACTTGCGAGCACAATCAGACTGCTGCAGCTCGAGAGGCAAATAGAGACGGCACTCTAACTCAGTCCCGTCGTGCACTGAAGGGATGTTGAAGCTGTAAGTCGGGGCAGAAAGATGCATCTCAATGGACACCGGCTTCTTTATTTTTGTCTTCCTGCCCTTGCTAATGAGCACAAGATGTGGCAATCTGTAGCTGTTGACCTGTCAATACGAAGATGCGGATATATATAGTTGTGACTAATGTTGGGAGGGCCAAGGCGAGTCGGAAACCATTCGCTGTGCACGGTCTCTTTATACATGGCTCCAGAGGCTCCGGTGGTGATTTAGCCCAGCACCCCAATCAGCTGCATCTTGAAAAAACCGATGGTTGATTCGAAATGAATCATTGAATGAAAAATGGATGTCTCGATCAGGCTAATATTATGCATGTCATTGCTTCTGCTAGCCAGCATCAGCAATGCTATACAATGCTAACAGTTCATGCCATTTACGACATAATTGCTATTATATGGAATTATATGTTTTTCAGACTAAGTATTCAAGCTTCAGGGAGTAGCCAAGCGGGATCGGGCTCGTCATCCTCGTTATCCGATCTGAAATTCGGTTCTGGAGACCCGTGTTCCGCATCCCTGAGTAAATCAGCTGGAGGTTCGGGGTTGTCCACCCCAAGAGGATCTGTCAATGAATCGTTTCTATCATCAGGACGATGTGCATTTGATTCTCTTTCCGGAGCGGGCGATTTGTCCTCCGTAGCCGTATCAAAAGCGTCGAGAAGCATCTCCCGTGCTTCACGCAGGGCCTCGAGCTCCGCTCCAATGCAGCACGTGAGTAGCTTCCAATCCTTCTTCTCTGCAAGATTGAGGTGTTGTTCCACGCGGTTGGTCGTATGCTCCAAATCTTCTATAATAGATTGAACCTGATCATTTTCCGTATTGGCTTTCGAATATCCCTCTGCTTCAAGAAGTTGCGACTGTGTCTGGATCGACCTGCGCATGGCCGACCTGAGTCGTTTCTCAAAGCCTGAGACTTCCCCTACTACCTGCTTCCAAACCCCTCCACCTTCTTCAAGGGCCTGGATTTCAGCATCTACCTCTTGTTGCTTTTTCCGTAAGTCGTCTTGCTCTGTTGTCCAATGTTCGTGGGCCATCTCAAGAGTGCGGCGCTTAGGATTCAGGGAGTAGAACGTTGAATGACTGCTGGTAACCGAGTCAGGCTTAACAGGAGGGTCTTTTAGGAATTTCTCGATGTCCAATTCCACAAGAGACAGAGAAGCTTTGTAAGAGGATAATTTGGATTCCATGGCATCCTCCATTTGTGCAAGTTCTCGAATCACACGCCGATGCCTTGCTTTCATTTCCAGTAGCCTGGTTTCCAACTCCTGAATCTCTGTCTCAAGCTGATGGCTCTCCTCAAGCAGCTCCTTTGAACGGTAGCTCTCCTCGTTATCATGGATTGTCGAGATGGCATCCTTCAAGCCAGCTCGTTTGGTACTAAAGCTGTCAATCTGTTCCAGAGCATCCACCCTTTCGTCAAGTCGAAAGCTGAGTATTTCTCGTTCCTCCTCTTTCAGCTTCAGCAAATCATAGATCGATTTGAATATCCCCTCCCGTGCTTCACGTAACCCAATCTTCCTCGCGACAGGTTGTCGGACCGGTATGGTAGACGGGCTCTTGGAGCGACTAAGTTCAGTCGGGGCGATGCTTTGATTGGAGATGGAGTCAGTATGAGGCGTTCCTGTGAGGCCTGCTAGGAGACCGTCACTCTGGGCGTCAATCAAGACCTGTAAACTGCGCTGTATGTGTTTCGTCTGGCGGTCAATGTAGAGAAGGGGGTCTTGCTGAGACGTAGGCATTCTCAGAGGCAACGATAACAAATTCTGCTTCGCGTTCTTAAGAAAAATGGCTGACATTTTAGAAGATGAAATGTGATCATTTGAAGAGGGTGAACTACTACTCTCTGCGCGTTGTATTTAAAACCGGACTTAGCTAGGCTTCAGTAGAGAGGGGGAAATATTGCCTTCGATGGATGTCAAACCAGAAGAAACAGGAAACAAAAAAAGGGACCCTAACACCACAGAACGCCAAACAACGCAAGGAAAGAATGATCATCTGCGAAGGTGGTCATGTTGACATTTTGGCTTTGTTCCTTTCGCCAACTGCTCACCTGTTCACCATTCCATCATACAACCACGTGATCACTCTAGGGGTTTCTGCAGGAACCACGGGCGCCTTTCGTCAGCTTCAACCGTTGACGTGTGCCTGGCTGCTGTCGGAAGCTTCCTAATCAACTCACAGCTTCCTTCTCTCATCTGCAACCCATTATCTGCTTTTTTTCTGATTTACTGCCTCTCTGTAAATTTTTATAACTCGGTATGTGCTTCTTCCGAATACTTTTGCCCTAGATTTGAGCTGATTCACTTGTCCTGAAGCTCCATCTCGAAGCTATCGCCTCATCTCTCGCGATAGCAAAGCTGACCCCTTCCATCAACTACGAAAAGCCGGTCTTGGAAGCAAGACAAATCTTTCAAAGATGGTCGGACTTGCTTCGGCCGCCGGTCTTGTTGGCTTTCTCTCTGAACCCGATCCGGAGTTGAGAGTCTTCGCTCTGAAGACCCTCGATTCTCAAATCGACCTCCTCTGGACAGAAGTTGTTGACGCAGTGCCTCAAATGTTCGTCATCCATCTATTATCTGCATAGAATCGCATTTCCACATCATGATTGAAAAAGTTCCTGCCAGAATTCTTTGTCGCTAACCGACTCTTGACCTTTAGAGAGGCATTATACGAAGATGAGTCTTTCCCAGAGCGAGAGCTCGCCGCTTTAGTTGCAGCGAAGGTTTACTATCACCTTCAAGAATACAACGAAAGCATGGTGTTCGCTCTCGGCGCTGGGAAACTCTTCAAGCTGGAGAACTGTGGCGAGTTTGAGGAGACAATCATCGGTAATTTTGGCAGCACTCCTCCGACTGATGTAACTTTCGACTGACCTAAGATTTCTCAAGCCAAATGTGTCGATACGTTTATCTCCCTGTCCGCTGCTCAAAGACCTGCCGCAGGCGATTCGTCTGCCAACTTGAACAATTCATTCCCGACATCGGGTGAAGGAGCCACGAGCACATCCGCCAGCCTAACATCTCCCATCACACCATTCTCGCAGTCCACATTGCCGTCAAAGTCATTGCTGTCTCGGCAAGAAGTGCCAGGTTTGGACGCCGCTCATCCGGGAGGAGAAGACGTGTCTGTCAAGCATGATGAAACCTCTTTGGTTTTGAAACGGGGAGTTCAGGGCCAGCTGCAAGCTGTCATTGAGCGTTTGTTCGAGCAATGTTTTGTCCAAAAACGTTATCGTCAAGTCATCGGAATTGCCATCGAAGCGAAGAATTTGGACGTGCTCCGCAGGACTATTGTCCGGGCAAGCGAGGATGAGAAGAAACACGGTGGATCCCGCCGAAGCGAAGAGCTCATGGAGTACGTTTTGGATATTTGCATGGGAATCGTGCAGGAGCGGGCTTTTCGCAATGAAGTATGTCTATCTATTTTTTTTTTCCCCCTTATTTCGCCGTTGTCAGGCCGTTTTCCGCTAACAACTGAGTTAGATCTTGAAACTCATTCTCGAACTCCTGAACGAAATTCCTGCTCCGGACTACTTCTCGATTGCTAAATGTGTTGTCTTCCTCAACGAGCACTCCATGGCGTCCGTCATTCTTCGACAGTTGGTGGAGAAGGGTGATGCCAGGTCACTTGCCGTTGCCTACCAGATCTCCTTTGACCTTTACGACAATAGCACTCAAGAATTCCTCAAGAAGGTTCGCGAAGAAATTGCCGAACTTGTACCCGAAGCACAGCAAGCCGACAGCAGTAAAACCGAGAGTCAAGAGGAGCCCAAGGAGTCTGATCCTTTGCTGCAAGACCAGTCCAGCTCGGAGCAATCAAGGTCTCTTGGATCGAACGATGCCCAGGCGGAGTTATCGGATGAAGCGCGTACAGCATTCAAGAATATACTCGAGATTCTCGACGGTATAAAGTCTATTCAACTCAATCTCGAGTTCCTCTACCGGAATAACAAAGCCGACATTGCCATCTTGAACAAGGTCCGCGATAGTCTGGAGGCTCGGAACTCCATCTTCCATACAGCCGTTACTCTCTCCAATGCTTTCATGCATGCTGGCACGACACATGACAAGTTCTTCCGCGACAATCTGGAGTGGCTGGGCAAGGCTGTTAACTGGTCCAAGTTCACGGCTACTGCCGCGCTGGGTGTCATTCACCGTGGTAATCTGAGCCAAGGCCAAAAGCTGCTGCAACCCTATCTCCCAAGGGAGCATATTGCTGGTGTTGGCGGATCGGGCTCCGTTTACAGCCAGGGTGGATCACTCTACGCTTTTGGACTGATCTATGCTAACCATGGTGGAATGGCTGTTGACATGATTCGGGATCACTTCAAAAAGGCTACGGAGGAGGTTGTTCAGCACGGTGGAGCGCTAGGATTGGGTGTTGCGGGCATGGCCACTGGCGATGATGGTATTTACGAGGATCTTCGGAACGTGCTCTACACTGACTCGGCACTCAACGGTGAGGCCGTTGGTCTGGCTATGGGCTTGGTCATGCTGGGAACCGGAAACATGAGAGCTCTTGAGGACATGATTCAGTATGCTCACGATACGCAGCATGAGAAGATTGTTCGTGGTCTGGCCATGGGTATGGCCTTGATCATGTATGGCCGCCAAGAGGCTGCTGATGAGCTGATCAACGGCCTTCTGGGCGACCCTGACCCGACCCTCCGTTACGGAGGTATCATGACCATTGCTCTTGCTTACTGCGGTACTGGCAGCAACAAAGCTGTCCGCAGGCTCCTGCACGTTGCCGTTAGCGATGTCAACGATGACGTTCGTCGTGTGGCAGTTCTCAGTTTGGGTTTCATCCTGTTCAGAAAGTACCAGAGCGTGCCTCGGATGGTTGAGCTGTTGTCCGAATCTTATAATCCCCATGTGAGATATGGTGCGGCGATGGCGCTGGGTATCTCCTGCGCTGGTACCGGGTTGGACGAGGCGATCGACCTTCTGGAGCCCATGCTGAAGGATTCCACCGATTTCGTCAGGCAGGGCGCCTTGATCGCCTTGGCCATGGTTTTGGTTCAGCAGAACGAGGCTATGAACCCCCGTGTCAGCAGTCTTCGTAAAGCCATGATGAAGATGATTGGAGACAGGCACGAAGACGCCATGGCCAAGTTCGGCTGCGCTGTGGCTCTTGGCATCATCGACGCCGGTGGTCGGAACTGCACTATCAGCCTGCAGACACAGACAGGCAACCTCAACATGCCCGGAATCGTTGGAGCGGCCGTTTTCATTCAGTATTGGTACTGGTTCCCTCTCACTCACTTCTTGTCGCTCAGCTTCACACCAACTGCAGTCATCGGCGTGGATCAGAAGCTTGAAGTTCCTTTCTTCAAGTTCCATAGCAACACGAGACCTAGTCTTTTCGACTACCCTCCAGAGCAGCAGGTGAAGGCTGAGGAGGCGCCTGAGAAAGTCAAGACTGCTGTACTTTCGACGACTGCTCAAGCGAAGCGTCGCGCTCAACGTCGTGAGAAACAACAACGGCGTGAGAGCATGGATGTTGACCAGACGCCCACGACACCTAAAGTGTCGGACCAGCTCCCCGAGAAGATGGAGACCGACGAAGGTGTGGAGAAGCCTGAGGAAGAGGCGAAGGAAGGAGAGAAGGGCGCTGGCGAAGGTCCGAAGAAGAAAGCGGAGCGGGAGAAGGTCGGATATGAACTCGAAAACATGTCCAGGGTTCTTCCTGCTCAGCTCAAGTACCTCACATTCCCAGACCCACGGTACGAGCCGGTAAAACGGGTAGGTTTTAAATCACATTTCTGTCCATCCCAGAAAATTGCTAACTATGTACCCACAGCCTACTGGAGGAGTTGTTGTCGTGTTGGACAAGAATCCCGACGAACCTCGTGAAACAATCGAGATGAAAGCAAGCAAAGAAGTCAGACAACCCGCAGCAACCGCGGAATCGCTTCAAGATCGGCTGCAAGCCGCCATTGGCGCCGCAGCCTTGCAGACACCCCAGCGCGATGCTGGTCGGATGCCTCTGGGTGCGGATCCCACCGCAGCCGCAGGGGCAGCGGCCGCCGCTGGTGTCCTAACGGCTGTGGATGAGGATGAAGAAGGTGGCGAGGAAGCCCCCGTGCCGGAGGAGTTTGAGTACGAGTCTGAAGGCATGGAGGAGTAAACGCAGGCATATTGATGCATGTCTACACGGCGGTTGTACTACTAGATTAATGATGATTTCACTTCTACTTTCAGCGAGTGAGCACCACTCGTGCTTGAGGTTTACACTTTCGCAACTTGGACGTCAAGCCTTAGCCAGTTCATTTTGTAGATCATGATGGTATGTGATGCTTTTCGCAATGCAGCATCTTGGTTGCATCGTTCAGCACTAAGCACTAAGAAGCTGGAGGGGTGTATCAAAGAAAGCTTTAACTCGAGACCTGTTTACCATCTATCTTTCGCAACAGATGCCTCTATGCAGCCACGAACGGTTACTGTGGAGTATTAAATTAAGAAACCCCATGCATAGGGCCTTTTAACCAGCCCATCGGATAAATCTTGGTGATATGGACCGGCCGAAGAGAGCCCTCCTGATCTATGATCCTTGTCTCCGAACCAGTGATGAAAATGAGCGGCTCAGAATCTTAGAGCGGATTCACATGGGAGGTGCTCCTAAACAGCCTGTGTGTAAGTAGTACCCGAACAGTACCCCCTCGAGACTGGTGAGACGGGACTTCGCGCTGATTGCTCAAACTGGACTAAGGCGACGTCACGTGTGGCCGGCCACTACCTCGGCAGATTCCCAATATGGGCGATCGGCACACGTGCGGCCATGACGCAGGCGGACGGTCAACAGCCAATAGCACGACACACAATCACCGGCGGATGACCCTGCAGAGCATCATCTGGCCGAGGTGTTTCGCGTGTGTGCTGCAGTTGATATTTGGGGGGACATGGCAGCCAGCCAGTCATCAATCACCATGGCTGCTTTTTGGCCTGCGCATGTGAAAGATGGCCAAATACCACCCTGCAAGTGTCACTACTGCTCTACTTGTCATCAATAAATCTACCGACAATAACAAGCACTAATACCTTGAGAACCGGGCTCAGTGGGCTCTTTTGGGCGGTTCCTCCGAAACGATATCCACTACTTGTACATTTTTCATGCCATTTACTGGCTGTGCTGGATAGCGCAGGCATATCATCACTTCTCATCCTCATTATATCCTGGAGCTCCGAGGTGGAGGGATCCGCTCGTTGTGCCGAAATTCCTAGACCTATATCTATCCCCGAATCCTCTCTTCTTGTCTTACCCCGGATTGTTTTCCTGTCCCTCACTTTTTTGACCACACTCTGCCCCATACCCCAGATAGCTTGTTGATCTAACTGCGTGGGTTGCAGACATATATACACTAGGCTTGTATCTATACTTTCGTTTTGCTCATAACATTTGTTTATAAAGACAATCATGTCCAAAACATTCTCCAAGGACGACGTGGCGTCGCATAACAAGCCAGACAACCTGTGGGTTATCATCGATGAGGATGTGTATGACTTGACCAAGTTCCAGGACGATCACCCTGGTGGAAAGAAGAGTACGTCGTTGTCACATGCTAGAGTCGAAAAATAGCAGCACCGGCGCTGACAGTGCGCATCTAGTTCTCTCCCGAGTGGCGGGCAAGGATGCTTCGAAACAGTTTTGGAAATACCACAATGAGGGGATCCTGAAGAAGTACAAGGGCCAGCTGCAGATTGGTTCTCTAGATTCTAAGAAGGCTGCTTCTGCCCCTACTCCTGCTAAGAAGGAGGCGCCCCGGCCTCAAGCTGCAGCCCCGGTTGATGTCGCTGCTGCGAAGTCCGACGAGCCCCTGGAGCCTTACGGTGAACTGGTTCCCTTCGCGGACCCTTCATGGTACCAAGGTGTATGTTCTTTCTGCAAGTATCCTCCTTACTACGCTTTTGAAACGTCCCGCTGATCTTCTGAATGACTGCAGTACCACTCGCCCTACTTTAACCAAACTCACGCAGCCCTACGCGCCGAAGTCAGACAATGGGTGGAGACCGAGATTGAGCCCTACGTTACCGAATGGGATGAGGCCAAGAAGGTGCCCGACAGCATTTACAAGCAGATGGGTGAGAGAGGATACCTTGCTGGTTTGTTGGGGACCAAGTACCCCGCCCAACACACTCGCAACAGGGTCCAGTCGGTTGCGCCTGAGAATTGGGATCTCTTCCACGAGATGCTACTCACGGACGAATTGTCCCGCGCTGGCAGTGGTGGCCTGGTTTGGAACTTGATTGGTGGCTTCGGTATCGGTTGCCCGCCTCTGGTCAAGTTCGGCAAGAAGCCTCTGGTTGACAGAATCCTGCCTGGCATTCTGGCCGGTGACAAGCGCATCTGTCTCGCCATTACCGAGCCCGATGCGGGCAGTGATGTTGCCAACTTGACATGCGAAGCCAAGCTGTCTCCTGATGGCAAGCACTATATCGTCAATGGTGAGAAGAAGTGGATTACCAATGGTATTTGGTCTGATTACTTCACTACTGCTGTTCGTACCGGCGGGCCCGGCATGAACGGCATCAGTGTTCTCTTGATTGAGAGAGAGGCGGGTGGTGTCAGCACCAGACGGATGGATTGCCAGGGTGTGTGGAGCAGTGGCACTACCTATGTTACCTTTGAGGACGTCAAGGTGCCTGTGGAGAACCTGATCGGCAAGGAGAACCAGGGCTTCAAGGGTGAGTTGTTACCTCTAAGTTCCCCAAAACACAAATACTGACTACGTTCTAGTTATCATGACCAACTTCAACCACGAGAGAATTGGTATCGTCATTCAGTGTGTCCGGTTCGCTCGTGTATGCTACGAAGAAGCCATGAAGTACGCCCACAAGCGCAGGACCTTCGGCAAGAAGCTCATTGACCACCCTGTCATTCGCATGAAGCTGGCACACATGGCTCGCCAGATCGAAGCAACTTACAACTGGCTGGAGAACATCATCTATCAGTGCCAGTCGATGGAGGAGACCGAAGCGATGCTCAAGCTGGGTGGTGCCATTGCCGGTCTCAAGGCTCAGGCGACTACCACTTTCGAATTCTGCGCCCGTGAGGCAAGTCAGATCTTCGGAGGTCTCAGCTACAGCCGCGGAGGCCAGGGTGGCAAGGTTGAGCGCTTGTACCGTGATGTTCGTGCCTACGCTATCCCTGGTGGAAGCGAGGAGATCATGTTGGACCTCAGCGTGCGCCAGAGCTTGCGGGTGCACCAGATGTTTGGCATGAAGCTCTAGTTTTTCCTGGATATGAGATTGCAAAATACATAGATATCCACCTTTTGTTCTAGCTCTGTTCCAAGTTGCGCATTGCCTTTGATTCGCATTCCAGTCGGTGGGTTTGTACATATAGGAATATCAATTGATTCTACCTTTCCAGACCATGCCTGAGGAAGTACTCATGAACTCTTCATATGCTCGACAGTCAAGCCTTTGCAACGACCAGCTAAGATCCGATAAAATAATTTTTAAAAAAGTGGGTTATACTGCTAGACAATGCTTTATGCTTTTTAATGATGTAGAGAAGAAAGCTTAGATGTAATATGAATCTCGAAGTCCAGAGTTAAAAGATGTTGATGAATCCATCGACTGCTGTTGTGTTGCTGAGTTCCGACCGAGGGGACTCCGGGTGCGCATTGAAACCACAAGCGCAGTCACCCTCTGCTTATTGCGCTGCCACCTCAAAGTTCCCTCGCCTTGGGGCTCAAACCAACTCTTTCCCTGCCGATTCACGAAAGTAGCTGCTCGCACCATCAGACTCTGGTGGGCAGCTGTATACTTCACATTCTCTCACCTTTCAGACCGATTTTCCGTCCCGGAAAGGCAGGAACCCCATTTCGTCGCGGTCGCGGAGTCGGCGAACGAACGGGGAAGTTGCCGCTCAACTGTCTGGCCGATTTCGACACCCTGAGCTTTTGATCATTGTCCTTCTCGTACGGAGTACTCTGGACCTCGACCGGACGTTCTATTTTCCCGGTTGTGAGCTAGCCTACTTTCTATCTACATCAGTCGATACCCCCCGGTAGCAACTGTTTCCTCTTTGGATCTTTTCCCGCCCTTCGTCTACCTCGAGCTCGATTGTGGAATCACCTCGTTTCGCCTAGAGAGGAGATCAGTGCGATCTTGTGTTTTATTCTCGATATCGGGGATCAACTTACGGGCTCTCGACATTCATTGTGGAATTCTAGCGAATTTACTCAACGTGTCAGCCTCATTACAAACATCCACGCCACAACCTAAAACATGTCACGGAATTTTTTGAACGAGGACTTTGGGTCCGACGAAGAGGACGATGACTTTAATCCCGCGCCTGCGGAAGAGTCCGATGAGGAGGATGTCAAGCCACAGGTGCGTGTATACTAGATCTACTGGCTGGGATCGGTACAAACGCTCACACTCTTTGGAATAGTCTACGAGTCGCGGCCGGATTAACGAGCAAGAGGAAGACGAGGACGACCATGCCGATGTTAAGCCCGAGAGGGCCGGCCGAGAGGGGAGTGAAGATGACGTAAAGGAAGACGTTGATGCGGATGAGGCCGACGCTGGCGGTGAGAGAGATGAAGGAGACGACGAGGAAGAAGGTGAAAATGATGAGGAGGACGAGGAGGAGGAGGAGGATGAGGACGACGAAGATGAAGATGAAGACGAAGATGAGCAAGACGTCTCGTCGGTAAGTGATGTGGCTTCCTTACCGAGCTGATGGCAGATCTAATCTTGGCTGTCTTACAATTAGGGCCGTCCGAGAAAACGAAGAAAGAGGTTGGGTGGCGTGCATGCTCTCATCGATACGGAGGCCGGTGTCGACGAGGAAGAGGACGAAGCTGAAGACGAGGAGGATGAGATGGAGTTTGGCGCAGAGATGCACCCGGATGATCTGGATGCGCTCCCCGCTGGCGCGGAGACAGACGACCGCCGGCATCGACAACTAGATCGCCAGCGTGAACTCGAGGCCAGTATGGATGCTGAGAAGCAGGCGCAGTTGCTCAAAGAACGTTATGGCCGAAACCGCGCCGCCGCCACCGATGCAGTCGTCGTGCCCAAGCGGTTGCTTCTTCCCAGTGTTGATGATCCCAGTATCTGGGGTGTCCGTTGCAAAGCCGGCAAGGAGCGTGAAGTCGTATTTGCGATTCAAAAGCGGATCGAAGAGCGCCCAGCTGGCTCTCGGAAACCCATCAAGATCATTTCCGCGTTTGAGCGTGGGGGTGCCATGAGTGGTTACATCTACGTCGAAGCGCGCAGGCAGGCTGATGTGATGGAGGCGCTGGAAGATATGTCAAACGTCTATCCACGGACAAAGATGATCCTGGTTCCCGTTCGAGAGATGCCCGATTTACTTCGAGTTCAGAAATCCGAGGAGCTCAACCCTGGCGGATGGGTTCGCATCAAGCGCGGCAAATACCAAGGCGACCTGGCCCAAATTGAAGAAGTGGACACAAACGGCTTGGAGGTTACAGTGCGCTTGGTCCCGCGGTTAGACTATGGCTTGAATGAAGACAGTGGAGCTCCTGTAGTCGACATCAAGAGAAAACGCCCAGGCATGGCTTCAGGAGGACCTCGGCCTCCTCAGCGGCTATTCAGCGAGGCTGAAGCGAAGAAACGACATGGAAAATACTTGTCAGCTACGTCTGGCTTGGGCGGAAAGTCGTGGAGCTACCTTGGTGAGACTTATATCGACGGTTTCTTGATCAAGGACATGAAGGTACAGCATCTTATCACGAAGAACGTCAACCCCCGTCTCGAGGAGGTTACGATGTTCGCTCGGGGCTCTGATGACGGTACCTCGAACTTGGACCTTGCATCACTTGCGGAGACGCTCAAAAACTCGACGGCCGAGGAATCATATCTTCCTGGTGACCCAGTCGAGGTGTTCCGAGGCGAGCAGCAGGGCTTGGTCGGTCGCACCACTTCGACTCGCGGAGACATCGTTACCTTGCAAGTAACTGAAGGTGAATTGGCCGGGCAGACGATTGAAGCTCCAGTCAAATCTCTTCGCAAGCGCTTCAGGGAAGGTGACCATGTCAAGGTCATTGGCGGCAGTCGATACCAGGATGAGCTGGGTATGGTGGTACAGGTCAAAGACGATACTGTGACACTGCTCAGTGACATGAGCATGCAGGAAATTACCGTCTTCAGCAAGGATCTCAGGCTCTCTGCCGAGACTGGTGTCGATGGGAAGTTGGGCATGTTTGATGTGCATGACCTTGTTCAACTAGAGTAAGTTCTCTCTTACTGGGTTAATATGTTCTTTATTCGCTGATCTTGTCCCAGTGCCTCCACTGTTGCTTGCGTTGTCAAGGTCGATCGTGAATCGTTGAGGGTTCTAGACCAGAACGGGTCTATTCGCACTGTCCTTCCGTCACAGGTCGCAAACAAGATTACGCCACGTCGAGATGCGGTGGCCACCGATCGCAATGGTGCTGAAATTCGAATCGGCGATACTGTGCGGGAATTGTATGGAGACCAGAGGAGCGGCGTCATTCTTCACATTTATCGCTCGTTCCTGTTCTTGCACAACAAAGCACAGGCAGAGAATTCAGGTATCGTCGTGGTCCGTACGACCAATGTTGTCACTGTGTCTGCCAAGGGTGGCAGATCCACTGGGCCTGACCTCACCAAGATGAATCCTGCGCTGATGAGAAACGGCATTCCTGGTGCTTCAATGGGGCCCCCCAAAAGTTTTGGCCGTGACCGGTTGATTGGCAAGACTGTTCAAGTGCGCAAGGGGCCGTACAAGGGTCTAGTTGGTATTGTGAAAGATTCGACAGATGTACAAGCGCGTGTGGAGCTTCACTCTAGAAACAAACTGGTGACGATTCCGAAAGACGTACTCAGCGTCAAGGATCCTGTCACCGGCCAAACGCTGGATATGTCTCGAAAGGGAGGTCAGCGTGTGCCATATGGTGCTTCCGCAGCGCCGCCATCCGGATGGTCAGGCGGACGTACTCCTATGGCAGCGGCAGATTCATCCAGAACGCCTGCTTGGGGTGGTGCCTCCTCGGCTCGAAGTAAGTGTTTCTCTGATACCGTTTTATGGTGGAAAGTTTGGGGCTAACTAGTATTTAGCACCCGCTTGGGCAGGCATCAGCGGTTCTCGCACGCCAGCATGGAAGATGGATGGATCGCGCACATCGAACCCCTACGATGGGAGTCGAACCGCATACGGAGGCGCTGGCTCACGCACACCAGCCTGGAACGCCGGCGCACGAACACCCTACGACTCCGGCTCTGGATCGAGTGGCTTTGATGCATTTGCAGCAGGCTCACGAACGCCAGCTTGGGGCGGAGCGAACGCCGGCGGCCGCACACCGGCCTGGTCTGCAAGCTCCTCGGCTGAAAGCGGGAATAGAGATTCTCGCGGCTACGACGCTCCCACTCCCGGTGGGGCCTATTCCGCTCCCACCCCAGGGGCATATACCGCACCAACCCCGGGGGCCTCCGCACCTACGCCTGGAGCCTGGGCTGACAGCGCCCCGACACCGGGGGTTTTCAATGCACCGACCCCCGGCGGCCTCTCAGGTCGTCCGTACGATGCACCCACGCCGGCGATGGGTGGTGCGGCGGCGACCCCGGGCGCAGGAGTATATGGGGACGGTGAGGATGGCGGGCCTCGCTACGACGAAGGAACACCCAGCCCTTAGAGCATGCTTTCAGCGCACAAAAAAGGCGAATCTTTTGGAATGTATTTTACGTTGCCGGTTTTATTTCTATTTTTTTTTTTTTTTGCTTATCTTTTCCCAAATACAGATGGACAATGTATAATGCGTGGTCAGTCAGTTCACTTCATACTTCGATAGTTGTATTTTAGACATATACAAACAGGGGGACTCAATATCATGTACACCTGGTCAAATTGAAGATAGATTGTAATCAGCTGTAAGGGCCTCGATCTATATGCTGGCCTTGAATGAAGTCACAAGGGCAATGAATATTCGACATGTCGTATCAGTCATATCATGTCACGATTTCAGGCTCTTTCCGTTACTCGTCGACCTGGCCATTAAAAATAAAACTAGAAGGGATATATACTAACACAATCGAGAAGGCTTAAGGCAATTCCATCCGAGGAGGAGGAGGAGTAGTAGTAGTAGTAGTAGTCTGTATTTCTTCTACCTGGAAGGGGAAGGTGTAGTAGCGATGATACGTGGTTTTGAAGCCTGCCGACCTGGCATGGAATATCAAGAAGGCGGCGGCACCGCACGCGCCAGCACGCGGATGTTATCCACAAATCCCTTGACCAG